TTAATGACCCTCGTGTAGTAGACTTGATGACATGTAGCCTTAATTAATGACCCTCGTGTAGTAGACAGTCTTGATGACATGTAGCCTTAATTAATGACCCTCGTGTAGTAGACAGTCTTGATGACATGTAGCCTTAATGACCCTCGTGTAGTAGACAGTCTTGATGACATGCAGCCTTAATGACCCTCGTGTAGTAGACAGTCTTGATGACATGTAGCCTTAATTAATGACCCTCGTGTAGTAGACAGTCTTGATGACATGCAGCCTTAATGACCCTCGTGTAGTAGACTTGATGACATGTAGCCTTAATGACCCTCGTGTAGTAGACTTGTTGACATGTAGCCTTAATGACCCTCGTGTAGTAGACAGTCTTGATGACATGTAGCCTTAATGACCCTCGTGTAGTAGACAGTCTTGATGACATGTAGCCTTAATGACCCTCGTGTAGTAGATAGACTAATTTCCAAATAACCCGCACTTAAAGAGGACACTTGTGCCTCTGTTTTAAACTGTTCTGAAGCTGTGTGAAGCGATGCTTTTCAATGCGATGGATTTAAAATCCAATTGACTGAGCAACCAGTCCATGATGTACAGGTCAATATTCCTGTGCTTTAAGTTGTAGTTACAAGGAGTCGGTTCAGAATATGGGTTAAGTGTGTTTGTATAGTGTGGAGATACCTTGTGTAGCTGAAGGTGGTCTAAGAGAAAGTAATTTAAGTCATTCAGTGACTGTAACAGCCATGAGGGTCAACAGATGGCCACCAGCCACTGCTTTCTCTCTCTCTCTCTCTCTCTCTCTCTCTCTCTCTCAATTTTCATCATTTTAATACACAATATTGCTAAGTTCAGTTATTCCTTCCTATCCTATGAATACCAAGCTCCTTCCTCATATTAAGGAACTTAGTAGTGTCACGCCAGTCAGGAATAATGTTGACGACTTGGATATTTCACTTCGTTTAAGATTAACGTGGGAGAATAATGTTTAGTGCAAACAGAATCCAGTTATGTTTCTGTTACATACCATCACACAGGAGAGTTACACATCTGACAGAATAAATGTGTCAGCCTTGGAGACTTCAGTAGTGTGTTGAGATTAACTGTCAACATATCCATGTGTGCAGTAACTACCCAGTATGAGATACTGTCACATACATTCCACAGTGGTAGTAACACACAGTAATGAGATACTGTCAAACATTCCACTGTGGTGCAGTAACTACCACAGTAATGAGGATACTGTCAAACATTCCACTGTGGTGCAGTAACTACCACAGTAATGAGGATACTGTCAAACATTCCACTATGGTTCAGTAAGTACCAAAGTTACCTTCCAGCAGGGCTGCAGTTACTATTGAGAATCACCATCTCTCTGGATGACCTATCCCAATGCAATGTTCCTGGAGAGAGAGAATGAATTGTGTATTTTCCACTTGTGCTTACTTGTTTACAGGATGAGTCCCCACTCCCTGAGTTCCTGTTACAAGGATGATGGTCTCAGTCCCTGTTAGCTTGTTTACAAGGATGGAGTCTCAGCTCCCTGTAGCTTTGTTTACAAGGATGGAGTCTCAGCTCCCTGTAGCGTTGTTTACAAGGATGGAGTCTCAGCTCCCTGTAGCGTTGTTTACAAGGATGGAGTCTCAGCTCCCTGTAGCTTTGTTTACAAGGATGGAGTCTCAGCTCCCTGTAGCTTTGTTTACAAGGATGGAGTCTCAGCTCCCTGTAGCTTTGTTTACAAGGATGGAGTCTCAGCTCCCTGTAGCGTTGTTTACAAGGATGGAGTCTCAGCTCCCTGTAGCGTTGTTTACAAGGATGGAGTCTCAGCTCCCTGTAGCGTTGTTTACAAGGATGGAGTCTCAGCTCCCTGTAGCTTTGTTTACAAGGATGGAGTCTCAGCTCCCTGTAGCTTTGTTTACAAGGATGGAGTCTCAGCTCCTGTAGCTTTGTTTACAAGGATGGAGTCTCAGCTCCCTGTAGCATTGTTTACAAGGATGGAGTCTCGCTCCCTGTAGCTTGTTTACAAGGATGGAGTCTCAGCTCCCTGTAGCTTTGTTTACAAGGATGGAGTCTCAGCTCCATGTAGCTTTTTTTCAAGATGGTTCACTCCCGAGCTTTTTACAAGGATGGAGTTATAATCCCTAGGTTGTTTAAAGATGGATCTCAGCTCCCTGTAGCTTGTTTACAAGGATGGAGTCTCAGCTCCATGTAGCTTTGTTTACAAGGATGGAGTCTCAGCTCCCTGTAGCTTTGTTTACAAGGATGAGATCTTTACTCCTGTAGCGTTTGTCTACAAGGATGGAGTCTCAGCCCTGTAGCTTGGTTACAAGTGGATCTCAGCTCCCGTACTTTGTTTACAAGGATGATCTCAGCTCCCTGTAGCGTTGTTTTCACAAGGTGGAGTCTCGCTCCCTGTAGCTTTGTTACTAGGATGGAGTCTCAGCTCCTGTACTTTGTTTCAAGATAGGAGTCTGCAGTCCCTGCTGTCTCTTAACCTTTATGTATTGAGGATCATCATTGCGTTTTGAACCCTCAGAAGGTGCTTGAGCTGGTGAAGGGCCTTGATCCAGGACTTGTAGGTACCCTTTGACCAAAACATAGTTTTTCACCAGGTGCTGTGTAAACCTTAGGATCTAGCGCTTCCTTGTAAGAAATACTATGATTCTTGTAAGACCCATAGGGCACAGCCTAGATGGAGGTATCTCGGTTCCTGTGAACAAGAGCTAACTGGCATGAAGGACCTTTAGACGGGTTCCTGGCGTAAAAAACCCTAACCCGGTAACGTATAAGTTTACTTGTAGATATATAAGATTAATAAGAAAATGTTTGCATCCAATGGGCTTCATCCAGTGCAGAGAAAGGTGGAAGATAAAAGAGTTTGAGGTAATCAGTCCCTCACTATGTCGATGTGTTCATCCATCTTTCTTGATTTAAAATGAGAATATTCATGGATGGACTTTATTATGTCAGATGAGTCGCAATGCACAAAGTCATTTCATCTGTATAAACATTAAGTTTATTTATCATATGGTGTAAGTTACCTGATTATTAGTTATTGAAGTTCTTACCGTGTGTGTTAGGTTGTGAGAGCCCAGATTGTGGCAGAGGTCAGCTATGTTAGTCCATTACCAGTATTACATGGGTTCCAGCAATCCATTAGACTGCTTGTGTCTTGCGTGTTCTTCCTGCATTATGTGACTAACCTTTGTCGCTGTCTCAAACTAACACACTTTACGATGCTTGTAGGTAATCTCATTGTTATTTATGGTAATTCTCATTCCCAGTATTTCTATTGTGATTCTAGATACACACTCAGATTTATTAACGGTGTCCCGTAGCTGGGTTGGTAGTGCACTCAGCTTACACATTTAATACCGTCGGAAACATAGGACGTGTTTCCTTAAGACACCTGCTGTCCATGTTCACCTAGAAGTAAAATAGGTACCTGGGTGTTAGTTGACTGATGTGGGTCGCATCCTGGAACAAAATTGACCTAATTTAATTTGCGGAGAATGTCTTGGCACTATTGTACACTGGCAGCTTTTCTATTTTATTAGTATTCTCCATTGAGTCCACTATGTGCTGTTACTACTTGTGCATGTACTTCCTCCAAACAATATTATTCCTTGTGTATTCTATGATATTTACTCCATCACATTCAATTAATAGCAATTGCGACCTTCAATTAATTTGCTGATATCTTACTTTGCATTTGTTCCCTGCAATCACTCACAACATGTTCCTTGCTGTTTTTTAATCGAATACTTTCAGGTCCAGTCGACCATGTCATATTTAATAATAGTCAATTGCAGACCCCCAAATCATACATCATACGATTACATGAATACATTGCAGTTTGTCGCATGCAAGTGAACGTACGGGGCCACTGTAATTGCATGTGTGTCGCTTCATTTTAGGGTTCCTTAGTAATCTTTAATTTCTGTGAAGAAGTAAATCCATAGGTGTCATACACAACCTAGGTTATAGGAGGTGATCATTGAACATGGAATCCATAGGTGTTTTATACAGTGCCTGGGGGATGAGAGGTAATCAGGTTTCATCTGAAGAAGGGAAGGAATAGCTGCAGTTCTTTGGACTAAGAAACCTTCATGTCATGGAGGAGTTGGCATTAAGACAGTGTTTGCATGCATACATGACTCTAACTGACAGCAGAGGGACGATGTGAAACAGAAATAGTATGGAAAAAGTGGCAGAATTATCATTTATATATATAATAGTGGTGGTGACCTTTGCTTGGCCGGCTATCATAACCTCTTGGTATTTAAACCTTAAAATACTTACTGTACCACGTTACCATGGAGGCACAGTATAGGGGACACCTGGGTGCTAGTGTTGAATGAGGAATATAAAGGCACAATACTGTGACTGGAGTCTCCTATTTTCAGATTATTTGTGTACTGTTGAATGAATCATGGTGAATGTGTTTTCCTTGTTTTTTCTGGGTCACCCTACCTTAGTGGGAGACAGCCAGTATGTTAAAAGTAATAGTGTTTAATGAATATGATGTTTGATAGGAGTGAATGGAGGCAAATGGTTTTTATGACTTGATGTGCTGTTGGAGTGTGAGCAAAGAAACATGAGAAGATTCAGGAAAGTCAGTTAGCCAGACTTGAGTCCTGGAGGTGGGAAACACAGTGCCGGCACTGTGAAGGAGGAATGGGGATATGTTGCAGTTTTTGAACTTTAGTGTAGGCACACCTCTGGCAAGACAGCAGTGGAGTGAGCGATGATGAAAGTGTTTCTTCTTTTTTGGGTCACTCTGCCTTGTGGGAAACGGCATAAGTGTTAATAAAAAAAATAATGTAAAATGAATATGACTCCTGTGGGTTTAGCTCTGCATGTTAGTGGCTTAGTATACTACCTCACAGTATTTTGTTACATGTAAACTACATTATCTGTATACGTACTGCAGAAAAGAAATAAATCTATTATTATATTCCCATGATTATAATAATGTTGCAAATGTGATCATTGTTGGTTTTCAGATCTGCAGGAACTTGTAGCAGAAGCGCCAGACTACCTGGAGTCACCTGTGTCAGACGGCACTATAGAGGAGAACTTTGAGGCTGAGTTAGGCAGCGCTCTCAGGGAGGAGGATGAGCAGGCACTCCATCACACCTTCACTGATGATAACGACTTCACAGACATTGCCCGTCATGGCATTGTCGACATCGTCGGGGATGACACCTACGGCAGGAAGGTCATAGTCGTCTCTGCCTGTAAACTGCCCAGTAATAAAGTTTTCAACCATGAAAAATTTCTCAAGTAAGTTTCTTTCAGCATCTTGATATATTTTCCTCTCAAAAAAGTCTCTCCATTGTAACGATTTACCTCTTGTTCCTCCTATATTTTGCAGTTTCCAAATATCTTTGGGGAATGCTGTCAGTCTTCCGTTAAGCCAAGCTATTGTAAATTTTTTTTTATTATTATCACACTGGCCGATTCCCACCAAGGCAGGGTGGCCCGAAAAAGAAAAACTTTCACCATCATTCACTCCATCACTGTCTTGCTAGAAGGGTGCTTTACACTACAGTTTTTAAACTGCAACATTAACACCCCTCCATTTCTTTAAGGAATAAAAAGGCACAATACCATGACTGGAACAATACACAGATAACCCGCATGTAGGAGAAAGAAACCTATGACAATGTTTTGCTCCAACTTGGACCATTAACTAGTCATACACCAACACACAAAGATAAGGGTTATTTGTGTATGAATCCATTTCTTTCATGAACGATTTCCATTACTCTGTCATGATAATGATCTGATCTAATAGTTTTTAGTCAGAAACAGTGGTTCCTGACCTTTTGTATCACCCTTTTTTAAACCTCGAAAACTTTTGCAGTTGCCATCATGCTAAAACTTCTAAGTTTACATTGTTAATCAAGAAATACAATATGGTAAAACACCATTATTAACTTAGCACTTGTTCACACAATCCTTTGAATAACTCATCAGTCCCCAGGGCCCTTCCCTGGTCCCAAGGCCTCCTTCCTCAGTCCCCAGGGCCCTTCCCTGGTCCCAAGGCCCCCTTCCTCAGTCCCCAGGGCCCTTCCCTGGTCCCAAGGCCTCCTTCCTCAGTCCCCAGGGCCCTTCCCTGGTCCCAAGGCCTCCTTCCTCAGTCCCCAGGGCCCTTCCCTGGTCCCAAGGCCCCCTTCCTCAGTCCCCAGGGGCCCTTCCCTGTCCCAAGGCCCCCTTCCTCAGTACCCAGGGCCCTTCCCTGGTCCTAAGGCCCCCTTCCTCAGTCCCCAGGGCCCTTCCCTGGTCCCAAGGCCCCCTTCCTCAGTACCCAGGGCCCTTCCCTGGTCCCAAGGCCCCTTCCTCAGTCCCAGGGCCCTTCCCTGGTCCTAAGCCCCCTTCCTCAGTACACAGGGCCCTTCCCTGGTCCCAAGGCCCCCTTCCTCAGTCCCCAGGGCCCTTCCCTGGTCCCAAGGCCCCCTTCCTCAGTCCCCAGGGCCCTTCCCTGGTCCCAAGGCCCCCTTCTCAGTCCCCAGGGCCCTTCCCTGGTCCCAAGGCCCCCTTCCTCAGTCCCCAGGGCCCTTCCCTGGTCCCAAGGCCCCCTTCCTCAGTCCCCAGGGCCCTTCCCTGGTCCCAAGGCCCCCTTCCTCAGTCCCAGGGCCCTTCCCTGGTCCCAAGGCCCCCTTCCTCAGTCCCCAGGGCCCTTCCCTGGTCCCAAGGCCCCCTTCCTCAGTCCCCAGGGCTCCCCTTCGTCCCCAGGCCCCTCCTTCCTCCCTCAGTCCCCAGGCCCCCCTCCTTCCTCCCTCAGTCCCCAGGCCCCCCTCCTGGTCCTCAGGATGATAATCAGTGGTCTAAGTGTATAAATAAACTAGTATTAGTGAGCTACATGCTCTAAACCTGTAAGAGTCAGCACCTGGTAATTTAAAGTAATCAGGTTTGATCTGAGGAGTGAGAAGAGTAGCTCCAGTTTATTGGATGAAGAGCCCTTCATCAGTATAAAGACACTCCCTTGAAGAAGTGCACTAAATAACTAAAAGTCCACACAACTGTTTACTGGCTTATATTGATAAAAGAAGTCATCTGAGCAGGAAGAAACGAAGACTCGTTAAAATAGCATCAGTGAAAATAATACTCCAGGTATTTTGAAAGTAAATTGTGTAAGGTGAATGGGACTGAACTGGCAATTTTGTAATTGCAAGTCCATGACTATACTAACTCAGTCACAGCATTATTGCAACAACTCTCCTGATTATTGTTATAATCATAACTAACCACTAAAGCCATAAGGGTCATTACAGCTCTGACAACTTTCCTGAGTCTGTACTGGACTCAGGATGCCAGTTCAGTTCCTGGCTTCTTTATGCAATTTTTGATTTGGGTTTAATGAATGTTGTTGAATTAGATGAAAATACCACAAGGCTGTTAAGAGTTCTTTGGTCTTTTTTTTTTTTTTTTGACATACTGTATTTTCTGGTACATAAGGTGCACCTTTTTTCCCACAAAAAGTCTTGGAAAAACAGCCTGTGCCTTACATGGTCAAAGTCAGCGTCAAGGTTTGGGTTATGCTTTAGTGTAAAGTAAGAGGGTCGTTTTTAGTCCTTGAGTATGATTAACGTATTTACACTTGTATTTAAGCAGGAGACGTTATGGATGCATGAGTGAAAAGTTTCTTTTGGCCACCCTCTTGTGGGAAGACAGTGTGTAAGTGAATGAATGAAAAATTATTTCTTTTATGGGCTAAATAGCATGTGGGAGACGGACTCTGAGCCGAGTTGGCTTATAAATAAAAGAAGAGATACCTGTCACGATGCTGTTGTTGCAGAAATATCAATAAGTTGCACAAGAGAACAGAACTGTCTAAGTCAGAGACCTGTTACTGGTCAAAATAAAACACATTTGACAGTAGGGTTAATACCAATTTGCATTTGAGGGGCTGTTGTTTGCAAGAAATTGTCCCTATCAACATTCCTTCATACATTAACAGTGTAAATTGATTGCTGCAACAATTCTGAAAAAATCATAAACATCACAAAATTAAATATAATTCATTAATGTTTAGCAAATTTAGGCTAATTGAAGATAAGTTATGTAGCATTATGCTTGATGAGTTAGACACACGTGTAACACTGTGGTATCTTTATTGATAAGTAAGACATATGTAACACTGTGGTATCTTTATTGATAAGTAAGACATATGCAACACTGTGGTATCTTTATTGATAAGTAAGACATATGCAACACTGTGGTTATCTTTATTGATAAGTAAGACATCTGTGCAACACTGTGTTATCTTTATTGATAAGTAAGACATATGTAACACTGTGTTATCTTTATTGATAAGTAAGACATGTGCAACACTGTGTTATCTTTATTGATAAGTAAGACATATGCAACACTGTGTTATCTTTATTGATAAGTAAGACATATGTAACACTGTGTTATCTTTATTGATAAGTAAGACATATGTAACACTGTGTTATCTTTATTGATAAGTAAGACATATGTAACACTGTGTTATCTTTATTGATAAGTAAGACATATGCAACACTGTGTTATCTTTATTGATAAGTAAGACATATGTAACACTGTGTTATCTTTATTGATAAGTAAGACATATGAAACACTGTGTTATCTTTATTGATAAGACACACACGCAACACTTGGGTATCTTTATATGTCTTACTCTCCAACTTGTTGGTATTGGAAGAAATCACAATAAAATATATGATTGAAAACATCACAGTGAAATTAGGAAATAGAACCTTAGTGCTATCATGTGCTTACACACAGTATTATATATCATTTTCAATATAGCATTATGCTTGATGGATTTATCACTAGAAGAATGAGAGACTCGTGCAACATCTGGGAATCTTTATTGAGAAAATGTGTCGCTAGACAGCGACTTCTTCAGTCCGATACAAAGAACGGTGGAAGAAGTCACGGGTTGGTGAAATGTTTCAATAAAGATTTCCAAATATTGCACATGTCACTTTTATAAACTATTTATCATACAGTACAGGATTCCTAAAATAAATTGTTAAATAGTATATTTTGTGTTGTAGGTACCTGATGTTCACCCTGGACCAGTATGTGGAGCAAGACTATTCCTTGGTATATTTCCACTATGGTCTCAATAGCAAAAACAAACCCCCAGTCTCGTGGTTGTGGTCGGCTTACAAAGCTCTGGATCGCAAGTACAAGAAAAATCTCAAGGCTCTCTACTTGGTCCATCCCACTAATTTTATCAGAGTTGTGTACAATATCTTTAAGCCTGCTATTAGGTAATTATTATAAATATTGATTGTTTAGTGTGTGAATATTTAAGTTAAATATTTTTTAGAGAATTTTTACTGTTTATCTCCAGAATTAAAATACCAGTGAATTTCTCTTCCTAGGTCACCCAATAGATGAAAAAGGTTCCTTAACCCTTAAACTGTCCAAACGTAGATCGACGTTCACTCGCGTAGCGTTCCGAACGTAGATCTATGTTTTATTTTGCATGCCTTCTAATGTAAAATAAAATATGATCTACATTCGGAGCGCTACGCTAGTGAACCTAGATCTACGTTTGGAAAGTTTAAGGGTTAATTATGAATGCTCCGAGTCACAAAGTTTTAGGCTAAAGAACAGCATTTAGGAACCACCATTACAAATCTGTGTGAGCATGTTAGGAGTGAGTGGAGCATGTGGTTTTTATGAATAAATGTGCTGTTGGAGTGTGAACAAAGTAACGTTCATGAAGGGATTCAGGGAAATAGGTTAGACAGACTTGAGTCTTGGAGGTGGGAGGTAACTGTGTCTGCACTCTGAAGGAGGGGTGGAGATATGTTGCAGCTTTTGAACTGTGGTGTCAGTACACCTCTGGCAAGGCTGTGATAGAGTGAGTGATGATGAAAGTGTTTCTGGGTCATCCTGCCTTTTTGGGAAACGGCCGATATGTCCACGGAAAAAGAAACTGACCTTCATACTAATGTTCTGAGTGGGAAAAATAGACTGTATATTGGGTACCTCAGAAAAGAGGGCTGTGGAACTCATTTTAAAACATTATTATTATCATGGTTGGAGGTTGGAGGGAGGGGGTAAAGGAGGTTTTGTGTGCGAGGGGCTTGGACTTCCAGCGGGCATGCGTGAGCGTGTTTGATAGGAGTGAATGGAGACAAACGGTTTTTAATACTTGACGTGCTGTTGGAGTGTGAGCAAAGTAACATTTATGAAGGGGTTCAGGGAAACCGGCAGGCCGGACTTGAGTCCTAGAGATGAGAAGTACAGTGCCTGCACTCTGAAGGAGGGGTGTTAATGTTGCAGTTTAAAAACTGTAGTGTAAAGCACCCTTCTGGCAAGACAGTGATGGAGTGAATGATGATGAAAGTTTTTCTTTTTCGGGCCACCCTGCCTTGGTGGGAATCAGCCAGTGTGTTAATAAATAAATAATTACGTATTATCATTTTTTGTTTGGTGAGATTTTGGAGGCCTAATGATTTTTTTTGTGGGGCTTCAGTCACCCCTGTTCATTATTTGGGGACCTCCGGTGCATTTTTTAACAAATGAATATTAATGTTAATTTTTTTGCATATTCTGCTTCTAAGAGGTTTTACCCAAGGAAAAGTTAAGTAGTGTGGCGACATTATTAACTCCTACATAAATGTTGCTATGCAACATGAATAACTTAAAGAACAGAATGATCTAAATCAGGGGTAGACAAACTGCGGCCCACCAAGATCGCGTCATATACTCACGTATACGCAGCTGAATGAGCAAAACTCTCTTCATTTTCTTCTTTTGAAAACACGAGCTGTTATACAAACATTATCAGACAAGTACAGTTCCCAGTTGATGGCTTTAAAAGTTAGCCAAACCCAGATCTAAGTTCAACAAGGTTATATGTAGTTTGTAAGGTTTAAAATCTGTCTACTGGAGAAGGCCATTAAAGTTGCATATCAACTGAAATAGGGATTACAATAAACTCTCAGTGTATATACACTTTGTGTATGTTAAAAGAAATACACCTCATGTTGTATATAGGTATGGCTAGTTTTATGCAGTAAATGTGTTTCAGGACCATGGCAGCTGTACTAAGGTCAATCACGTCAGTAAGACTCTCTCTCTCTCTCTCTCTCAGTGAATTGGCCATATTCCACCTAGGAAGGTTGACCTAAAAAGAAAAACAAAAGTTTTTCTTCTTAAATTTGATAATTTATACAGGAGAAGGGGTTAGTAATCTCTTACTTCCGACATTTTAGTTGCCTCTTACAACACACACATGGCTGACAGAAGAAGAAGAATTTTCCACTTCCCCATGGAGATAAGAGGAAATAAAGAAGAACAGGAACTATTAAGAAAATAGAAGAAAACTTAAATGGGTGTGTAAATATATATGGTGTGTACATGCATGTGTAGTGTGATTAGAAGTAGCAAGATATACCTGTTATCCCACATGTTTGTAAGATAGAAAAAAGACACCAGCAATACTACCATCATGTAAAACAATTACAGGTTTCCTTTTCGCACACGTCAACAAGACATAATTCCACATAATAAGTATCTTCATTATGTTTCACGATACACAATCACACAAGGCAAATACAGTGCTCCATTGAGTTAAGATGGTCTTGAGTTATGATTTACCCTCATAAAGGAATTTAGTTGTGAGTCGTGATGAAAAATTTGAGATGCGATATACATGCCCAGCACCCAGTCCTCTACTTCAGCCTTTGGACCAGCAAGTGATTGCGAATTTACACCAAGATGTTTGCCAAGTGCTTTGCTGAGACATCGGGAGACAGAGCCATCAGCCTCAAGGAAATCTGGAAGACTAGGTTTAACATCTTAGATTGTGAGACTCATAGTGAATTCCTGTAGTGAAGTTTCCTCCCAGTGCAGCCTGGAGGAACTTGTGGTCTTCAGTCACCTATGATCTGGAAAATGAAGAATTAGACATATGCAATATCTGAGTACCTTTATTTGTAGATGTTTTGGCATCCAGTGGCTTTATCAGTACAATGGAAGGACATAATGTGAAGAATGTAGAACTATATACAAAATATGAGGTAATCACTCCCTCAGTCTTGGAGTTGGTGAAGAGTACCGTAGTCTTGAGCATTGGCATCGTGTTCTTGAAGGATTTGAGGCTGAAGAGGATGTAAACCAGGAGATTGTTGCTCTTGGTGAATCAGTGAGGCTGGAGGATGATGATGAGGATGTGAAGGAATTAATTCAGAACCACAGACAGGAGTTAACAACAGAGGAGCTTCAGGAATTAGAGATGGATGAGAAGGCCAGTGAGGAGAAGGATCATAGCTGCAGAAATTCAGGAGTTGTTTACTCATTGCAAGATGTGATAGGAATCATAAGAAGCCACCCAGACATTGAAAAAAAAAACTGAACTCACTTCCTGTGTTTTTGAAGATAATGTTTAATCTTATTTCAAAAGCCTCAGAAGCAAGCAACAGCAACAAACAACTCCAAACAGTTTTTTCAAGAGGCAACAGTTGAAAGGAGGTTCTCCTTCCAACCAGTAACCTCTTGTCCTTTCTCCACCACCACACTAAGTCTTCAAGTCCAAGGTATGTTAAAAGTTGCACCTCTGGGGTCTTGGAACAAATTAATATAAAACCATGTGTTTTGGGGTTTGAGATACGGTAGTTTAAAGGTACAATACGTCTTCTAGAATGGATTAATATCTTAACTCCAGGGAACACTGTATTACTAATAGAAACAGAACATCACATAGTACTAAATTTACATAAAGCAAAGGTGCATAAAGTGTAAGTGGGGGAGCTCCAGAATTTATATATAGGAACATAAGAATGGAGGAACACTGCAGCAGGCCTACTGGCCCCCTCCCTAGGCAGGTCCTTTTCTCAAAGTCAACCACTCCCACCCACTTGTCCAACCTTTTCCTAAGGCTAACCAAGCATTTGCTTCAATACCTCGGTACTAATCAGACCCAGCCCTTCTCACTCGTATATTTGTTCAGTCTCTCTCTGAAGCTACCCAAGGTTTGAGTTTTCATTAACCTTACTTAGAGGATTGTTCCTCGCATCAGCAACTTTGTTTGTGGTTAGAAAGGAAGGTCTAGGGAACTTGTCTTGAAGCTGTGTTTATATTATTATTTTTATTTGGAGGAGTTGATAAAGATTATAAGAAGGAATCAATCCTTCTTTTTCCCCACGTTGAGCAGAGGAAACTTGTATACTGTATGTGTAGAGTATACAAGTATGGTATAAGGTGGTATTTATATTGCATAGGATTTTCAGCACTTCTGAATTGATATTTTATTGATTATTTATGTTGCAGTGCCAAGTTTGGCAGGAAGGTGATGTATGTAAACTACTTACATGAACTACAACAACATCTTCACCTTGGTCAGCTTCCCATTCCACAACGTGTTCAGCAGTAAGTCACCACTCGCACAATTAATTTTAAGCCCTAAAGTATTTTTTAAAATTTATTTACGTTACTCAAGCGCATAATAACCTTGCTGTGTTCTACTACTTTTTTTTGTAAAGTAATATGATGCTTAAGTAATCATTGTATTTTAAGTAATCAAGTAATTTCTTAATGGCATATACATACATGAGTAAACAGTTAACCCAGAAGAACCATACAGCACCTAGGTAATGAGAGGTAAAGAATAAAGAGGCACAATACCATGATTGGAATAATACACAAATAATCCACACATAGGGAAAAGAAGCTTATGACAACGTGTCAGTTTGACTTGGAGTATTAACTAGTACAGTGGTACCCCCGAGTTTCAAACTGCTTCCAATTCGACCAATTATGTAAGTGTATTATTGTAAGTGTATTTTTGGGGGTCTGAAACGGACTAATCTAATTTACATTATTCCTTATGGGAACAAATTTGTTTGGTAATGGCACTCGAACAGCCTTCTGGAATGAAGAAAGTTCGAAACTCGGGGTACCGCTGGACTACTATTATTACCTTGCTTCACTCCACTCTCCGACTCTTGTGCCACTTCTACTTCTCTCCCTACCCATTTTACTATTACTATCTGCACTACCTATTCCACTATCTCCACTTCCTTCTTTTTATTTTTCTACCTCTGTTTCTCCCGTCCTGCCCTCCTTGCGTATATATACTGGCTTCCTTACCTTCGTATGTTAGTGTGGCTAGTTAATGGTGCGAGTTGGACCAAGACGTCATCACGAGTTTCTTTCTCTTATGTGTGGGTTATTAGTGGAATGGGAGGTAATAAGGGTTGATCCAAGGAAGGGGAGTTACAATTCTATGGATCAAGAGATCTTCACCAGCATGAAGACACATTTCGTCAAGGGAATTAGGAATTATGTACAGCACTTTAATATTTGCTATAATTTTTGTGGTATAATAATTTATCAGTTGTCTTTAAACTACTATAGTAATCTGTTATCTATCATCATTTTCTATATTACTAGAATTGTGCCACTTAAAATTTAAATCAACATTAGGAAGTAAAAACATCGTATCACAATCCACTCTTTCCCCCAGACACGATCAGCAACTCCTTGCCAAACTGAAGAACCTTCCTAAAACTCCTGGTGTGGGCTCCAACAAGCCTTTACCCACACAGCAGTTTGGTGTATCGTTACAATACATCAAAGATGCAAATGATCAGGACCCAATTCCTCCTGTGCTGAAAAATTGCATTACCTTCCTTGATCACCCAGATGGTGAGTATTCTTTATTTTTTAGCATATATTTAGGCATTGTTATTAGACCTTCAGTATTTACTGTGATAATCTTAAATTTAAGTGGATTCTGCATATATTTCCATAGTGTGCAAGGAATGGTGCTAGAAAATATTTATTGTACGGTCTCTACAGTTTTGTCAAGTGAAAGGACACAAGTGCATCTAATGTGATATTTTATTGTGGCAACGTTTCACTCTTCAGGAGCTTTGTCAAGCCGTTATAAACAGTACATGGACACAGAGGGTATATATAGGACCAGAGTGAGTTGTAATACTAGTGATAGTAGTAGTAGTAATACAATATGATAGAACAATTAACTAGCACATGAGTAATAGGATATAAAAGCTATTACTTGGGTAGCATAAAAATAGGTTAGACAAATACAGTACGTATTTCTATTGGAGGTTGGATTACAGAGGATGAACACTGAAACATGCCTTCTGTAATCCAACCTCCAATAGAAATATTTGTCTAACCTATTTTTATGCTACCCAAGTAATAGCTTTTATATCCTATTACTCATGTGCTAGTTAATTGAGGAAATGGTATGGTGATACCGACAAGATGTGGAAAAAGACACTTATGTACAGTTCAGGACATTTATTAAAGGAAACGTTTCGCCACGAGTGGCTTCTTCAGAAGAAGCCACTCGTGGTGAAATGTTTCCTTTAATAAATGTCCTGAACTGTACATAAGTGTCTTTTTCCACATGCTAGTTAATTCTTCTACTACTACAACTTATGTCACTACTACTACTACTACTAGTGTTACACCTCACTCTGAGCCTATATATACCCTCTGTGTCCATGTATTGTTTGTAACGGCTTGATAAAGCTCCTGGAGAGCGAAACGTTGCCACAATAAAATATCACATTAATTGCACTTGCCCTAGGTAGTAGGTTGGTAGACAGCAACCGCCCAGGGAGGTACTACCGTCCTGCCAAGTGAGTGTAAAACGAAAGCCTGTAATCGTTTTACATGATGGTAGGATTGCTGGTGTCCTTTTTTCTGTTTCATAAACATGCAAGATTTCAGGTACGTCTTGCTACTTCTACTCACACTTAGGTCACACTGCACACATACGTGTACAAGCATGTATATACATACCCCTCTGGGTTTCTATTTTCTTTCTAGTTCTTGTTCTTGTCTATTTCCTCTTATCTCCATGGGAAAGTGGATCAGAATTCTTCCTCCGTAAGCCATGCGTGTTGTAAGAGGCGACTAAAATGCCAGGAGCAAGGGGCTAGTAACCTCTTCTCCTATATATATTACTAAATGTAAAAGGAGAAACTTTCATTTTTCCTTTTGGGCCACCCCGCCTCGGTGGGATACGGCTGGTTTGTTGAAAGAAAGTTGCACTTGTGTCTTATTACTTTACATATTGTCGGTAATTCCACCAACATATATACACTCTACTATTTTATCACATCTCCATGGGGAAGTGGAACAGAATTCTTCCTCCGTAAGCCATGCGTGTCGTAAGAGGCGACTAAAATGCTGGGAGCAAGGGATTAGTAACCCCTTCTCCTGTATATACAGTGGACCCCCGGTTTACGATCAGCTCCCAATGCGACCAATTATGTAAGTGTATTTATGTAAGTGCGTTTGTATGTGTATGTTTGGGGGTCTGAAATGGACTAATCTACTTCACAATATTCCTTATGGGAACAAATTCGGTCAGTACTGGCACTTGAACATACTTCTGGAATGAAATAATATCGTAAATCGAGAGTCCACTGTATTACTAAATTTAAAAGGAGAAACTTTCGTTTTTATTTTTGGGCCGCCCCGCCTCGGTGGGATACGGCTGATACATTGAAAGAAGATTTTATCACATCTCACAATGACGAAGTAATTCTAAATATCACTTGTCTGTAGCTCATATTACTATAATCATAGGCGTGGTCATGGACCAGGCTGCGGGGGATCATAAGCCTGGTCATGGACCTGGCTGCGGGGGATCATAAGCATGGTCATGGACCAGGCTGTGGGGAATCATAAGCCTGGTCATGGACCAGGCTGCGGGGGATCATAAGCCTGGTCATGGACCAGGCTGCGGGGGATCATAAGCCTGGTCATGGACCAGGCTGTGGGGGCGTTGACCCCTGGAACACTGCAGATGATGGGGAAGCGCTAAATCAATAGAGGCAACAGCAGCTGGGAAATTGGAGGTCATGAGGTTTGATCCAAGAAAAGGGTGAGTAATTCCAATTCCTTGGATCAAGAGCCCTTTACCAGCATCAAGGATTTGCTATTGAAGGAGTAATTGTAAGTATTACCTGTCTTTATCTCATACAGCGTTCTCGTTGCAGCTCTGGAGACGGAAGGGCTGTTCCGTCGATCTAGTGCAGCAGTCGTGGTAAAAAGCGTACAGGAACGTTTCAATAAAGGCGAAGAAGTGAATTTTGATTTAGACACCGATGTACACACAGCGGCAGTCATCATTAAAACTTTCCTGCGTGAACTGGAAGAGCCATTAATGACGTTTGATCTCTATGATGAGGTTATCCAGTTTCAAAGTTAGTACTGTGTAATGTTAATCTATTAGTATTCAATTCTCTTGTATTCATTGTAACTTCTAATTTTATTTTTACAATATGTAAGAGACTGTATGCATAAGCAATTAATTAGTCATTGCCTTATTAATCTTAAGTTAGTTTTAAGTTTGCCTGAAATACTCTGCATGTTAAGGGGTTTCTAAGCATGCACACCTAAATGTCATTGACCTTTGTACAAACATTGTATCGTGCTGAAATCATTGTATTGTAATTTGTTATGCATCATTTAGGACCCCAGTCGAAATACGTTGTGTTAGGTTAGCTTCTTTTAAATACAGCACAGTACTGTATATAATTTATCACTAATGTATATCTGCAATATTAATGTGCCCTTGGAGCTAATTTGTAAATTTATACTAGTGTCTAAAATAATTTGTAGATATGTTTAATAGAGCTTATCTTGTGTTAAATGAGGGAGGTGGAGCAGCAGCAGTAAGTAAACAAGGCTTTTTACACTATATTGCATTTTACTTATTTAGTTTATTTTTGTTGCATGGGAATACAGCATAAATACAGCGGACCCCCAGTTTACGATCACCTCCCAGTGTGACCAATTATGTAAGTGCGTGTATATTTGAGGGGTCTGAAATGGACTAATCTAATTCACAATATTCCTTATGGGAACAAATTCGTTCAGTACTGGCACCTGAACATACTTCTGGAATGAAATAATATCGTAAACCAGGGGTCCACTGTACATTGTTTCGTAAGGCCTGATCACTTAGTAAAGTGAATAAGACTAATATGCAACATGTTATCTTTATTACCCAAACATTTCACTTGGTCAGTAAGCTTCTTCATTTGAATACAGAGGTGACTAATGTATTAGAGAGAGTGAAGAAGAAAGTTCAGAGGTTTTAAGCCCCTTAGTCTTGATTGAAGTGGGGAGGTAAATTTTGAAGTGTTCAGTCCCTTAGCCTTGATAGAAGGTGTTCAGTTCCATGATATTGATCACTGAAGTAGAGGTGGAGCTTATGAAGTGGATCAGAAGTGAGGTGAGGCGGTTAAAGATGGCATCACTGGAGGCAGGACCCACAAACAGGCCTACTGAAAAAAAAAAAATGTTGGTTTACAGCACTCAGTTTTTTCTTTTTCTGTCTTCTGTAAGCTTCCATCATTATATTTACAGTGGACCCCCGCATAGCGAACTTAATCCGTGCAAGAGGGCTGGTCGTTATGCGAAATGTTCGCTATGCGAATTAATTTTCCCCATAAGAAATAATGGAAATAAAATTAATCCGTGCAAGACACCCAAAAGTATGAAAAAAATTTTTTTTTACCACAAAAAAATGTTAATTTTAGTACACACAAACTGAAAAAGGCATGCACAATTACATGACACTTACTTTTATTGAAGATCTGGTGATGATTGATGGGATGGGAGGAGGGGAGAGAGAGTGTTAGTGTTTAGAAGGGGAATCCCCTTCCATTAGGACTTGAGGTAGCAAGTCCTTTTCCGGGGTTACTTCCCTTCTTCTTTTAATGCCACTAGACCAGCTTCAGAGTCACTGGACCTCTGTCGCACTACAAATCTGTCCATAGAGCTCTGTACCTCCCGTTCCTTTACGATTTGTCTAAAATGGGCCATAACATTGTCATTGAAATAGTCACCAGCACGGCTTGCAACAGCTGTGTCAGGGTGATTTTCATCCATAAAGGTTTGCAGTTCAACCCACTGTGCACACATTTCCTTAATTTTTGAAGTAGGCACAATGGATTCCACAACTGGCATAGGCTTCTCTAGGGTTAGCCCCAAACCCTTCAAAATCTTTCTAATTTCCATACTAATTCTCACCCTTTTTAACCACAGGGTTGGCACTAGAAGCTTTCTTGGGCCCATGGTCACTTATTTTCCAGAAACAGCACCGAAAACACTGTAATAATACGAAATATTCCGAGTGTATGCTTGAATGTTACCGCGGAGGCTGGCTGGTAAACAATGGGACGGGCGGCACATGTGAGGCTGGCTGAGGCCGCACATTGGACGCGTCTCGGACGAAGGTCGCTGAGCGGGTTTTTGTCCACTATGCGGGGCAAAATTTTGGCGAACAAAGCGTTCGCTATGCGGATTGTTCGCTATGCAAGGCGTTCGCTATGCGGGGGTCCACTGTATTAGATAATTAATTAATTTATAATTTCAGGTCTTAATAAGAGTGATCGTCTAACTACTATCAAACAGATAATATTGGAAAAGTTACCAGAGGATAACTACCTCGTACTAAAGTTCCTCACAAACTTCTTAGCAAAGGTGAGTAAACAAATTAACTACCGACCATTTAGTTTGATAACTTTGTTATAGTAGTAGTCAGGATTACAGTGGTACATATTGAAATTTGTTGTAGCCAAGGAAGGCAGGGTAGGGGTTGGAGGCAAGGAAGGCAGGGTAGGGGTTGTAGCCAAGGAAGGCAGGGTAGGGGTTGGAAGCAAGGGGTAGAGGAGGTTATGTGTGTGAAGGGCATAGACTTCCAGCAAGCATGCTTGACCATGTTAGATACGAGCAAGTGGTTTTTATGACTTGACATGCTGTTGAAGTGTGAGCAAAGCAACATTTATGAAAGGAATTCAGGGAAACCAGTTAGCCGGATTAGGGTCCTGGAAATGGGAAGTACAGTGCCTGCACTTTAAAGGTGGGGTTTGGGATATTTGCTGTTTGGAGTGACATCTGAAGTGTTGTATCTGCATGCCTCTGTAAAGACAGTGATTATGTGTGAATATATTTCTTTATTTTTTGGATCACCCTGCCTCAGTGGGAGACAGCCAACAAGTTGAAAAAAAAAATTATAAGTTGGTGGATGAATTTGGGATGGCATTTCAAAGTAAGAAATTTAAAGTGAATATAGAGAAGAGTAGGCAATAATAGACTGGGAAGGAGTATAGAAGTGGATGTATTTAGAGATTTCGAGTAAACATGTCTGTGAAACTCCATGGGGAAGTAGAAAAGAATTCTTCCTTCATAAGCCTTGCATGTTGAAAGAAGCAACTATAATGCCAGAGCAAGGTGCTAGTAACCCCTTCTCTTGTATAAACTACTGAATTTAAAAAGAAAAACTTTTGTTTTTCTATTTTAGATTACCTGCCTTGGTGGGATATGGCTGGTTCGTTGAAAAAATGTACGAAAGATGAGGTGAACCATAGAATGGATGAGGAAAAGTGGGTGGCATATTGAGGCATGTGTGTAATTATTATTATAATCAAGGGGGAAGCACTTAACCTGTAGGATTGTGCAGTGTCCGTGGAAGGTATTCAGACTTAATTCAGGGAACTGGAGCACAGATCAAATTCCCTAGATCAAGAACCCCACACCAGCATCAGGGAACCTCCCTTGAGGGAGGAGACAAAGAACTTTGTCTGTGGAAGCAAAGAGGGGAATGTATGAGAGTATAGTTATACAAACACTCTTGTATGGGTGTGAAGCATGGGTTGTGAATGTTGCAACAAGGAGAAGGCTGGAGGCAGTGGAGATGTCATGTCTGAGGGCAATGTGTGGTGTCAATATAATGCAGAGAATCCGTAGTTTGGAGATTAGGAGGAGGTGTGGGATTACCAAAACTATTATCCAGAGGGCTGAGGAGGGGTTATTGAGATGGTTTGGACATGTAGAGAGGATGGAACGAAATTGAATGACTGAGAGTATACAATTTTGTAGTGGAGGGAAGGCGGGGTAGGGGTCGGCCTAGGACAGGTTGGAGTGAGGGGTAAAGGAGGTTTTGTGTGCGAGGGGCTTGGACTTCCAGCAAGCGTGTGTGAGCATGTTAGGCAGGAGCAAATGGAGACATGGTTTTTAGGACTTGACATGCTGTTGGAGTGTAAGCAAGGTAACATTTATGAAGGGATTCAGGGAAACTGACAGGCAGGACTTGAGTCCTGGAGATGGGAAGTACAGTGTCTGCAGCCTGAAGGAGAGGTGTTAATGTTGCAGTTTTATAACTGTAGTGTAGGCATTCCTCTGGCAAGACAGTGATGGAGTGAATGATGATGAAAGTTTTTCTTTTTTGGGCCACCCTGCCTTGGTGGGAAATGGCCGATGTGTTTATAATAAAATAATAATTAAAACTGAGTATAACAGTCAGTGTGTGTTTAGTGCTGGATGGTATGAAAACACAGTCAGTATCATAACACAGTTTAATGGCAAAACTCCAGCACCTCCTCTCATTGGCATGGGAAATTTCTTTGGAAACATAAACACATATGCAGTTTAATGTGATCCTTTATTGACAACGTTTTGCCTACACAGTGGGCTTTTTCAAGTCACACAGATCTACCTGGGATGGAAGGTATGGGAGTATTTATAGTCAGGTTCAGAATGTTGAGGTCAGGTGAAGAATGCTGCATCTGATGATCTACTGAGTGGGGTTATAGAGTCTTGGGTAGCTTGGCAGGGGTATTGGACAAGTTGTGAGTAGACCTTCTGCAGTGTTCTATGTTCTTATGTGGGATAGCAATGAAGAAGTTTCTTGGCAAGTGGTTCAGCTATGTTATAGAAGCCATTGTTCTGGTTGAAATTGTTGGTTATAGAGATAACGATGATTCAGGATTCTTCGGTATTGAGTGTTGTCTTCTGTGGCGATAAGTCTTGAGTTTCTGTAGTTAATTAAATGGTTGTGTGAATTGCGATGTTGTACACAGGTATTCCTTGTATCGTCAGTCCTGCTTGCGTATTGATGTTCTGAAATACGTGTTTGGAGGTCTCTTGATGTTTCGCCCACGTATAATTTGTTGCAATCATTACAAGGGATTATTTATACCCCTGCAGAGGATGGAAGCTTGTCCTGTCTACTACTGGTGATGTCCTTGATGGTCGTGGTTGTGGAGGTAGATACTTGGAATGATGTATTGGAAAAGATGTTGGAAACATGTTTGGCAATGGAGTTGGTGGGGAGGACTATGTATCTCTTCTCGGCAGTGTCTTCTCTGGGTGTGTTGAAGATGTTTAATGCCCGCCGTCTGCAGTCCAGTGTGTCGGAAATTTCCTTGCTGAATGTTTGCACAGATTATTTTTAAGAACAGTTAGTCTCCAACAAGTGTTTAATACTGACGAGACAAAGCCATGTTGGAATCTTATGCCATCAAGAGTGTATAATTAGTTATCAAAAAAAGAAAAAAAACAGCTGGTTTCAAGGCCCTAATGATTACTTCAACTTGCTTCTTGTCACAAATGTATCAGTTCATTGCAAGTTGAAACAATACTAATTAACCCTTAAACGATCCAGACAGATTGACGTTCAAATCCGTAGTGCTCCAAATGTAGATTTACGTTTTTTTACATAATTTCGAACATAACAAAAAAAGAAATGTAGATAAAAGTTTTTTTTACACATTTTCAAACGAAAAAAAAAAGATGATCTACACTTTTTTACATACTTTCAAATGTTGAAAAAACGTATATATACGTTTGGACCGTTTAAGGGTTAATCCTGCAGAAAATTCCATTGCTTTAAATTTAAAGTCAAGCCAAAACTTGTGTGCTGTTACTTGCCAGTTAACCCTTTGACTGTCGAAGGGCCAAATCCTGAAGTTGCTTCTGGTGTCGCAAAATATTCGAAAAAAAAAAAAATTATTTTTTCTTATGAAATGATAGAGAATCTTTTCCCGATTGTAAAGACACCAAAAAAACGAAATTTGATGGAAAACTGACGGAATTACGCTCTCGCGAAGTTAGCGACTTCGGCGATATTTAAAAATCGCAATTTCGCCCACTTTGAGCCCTATTTTCGGCTAATTCCGTTATTCCAGTCAACCAAACTCATAACTATTTCTTCTAGAACTCTATTTTTCTATCGATTGAGTACAAGAAACTGCCCATTTACCGATTTCAACTACCCAATAACATGGTCAAAATTTGCAATTTGGCCAATTTCACGAAAATTAAAAAATACGACAATTTCAAAATAAGGTCCAGAATGAACAATGCAGACATTCCTGGCTCTAAAATAACATTTTCTTTGTTCATCAGTCATGTCTCCAGGTTCCCTGTGATATTACTCTTGCTTTTTATTTTGAAATTTTATTCAAACAAAAAATAGAAGATTTACTGTTATGCAGACTACTGCAATACTGTAATAATTGTAAAAATTACATCAACCCATTCATGACTGCGTATTAGAATGGCTATTTGGACATTTATTGGACAATGACATCATTTGTTCACTTTGAACATCGGCAAAAATCAAACATTTCCTGTACTTTGTACTCCATTTCCAGGTACTTTTATAGTAAAAATTAATCAAAATCACGTCCATTTCTATAACATAGTTTCCATTCTATCAAATGAGACCAAGAAAACGAGAATACAACACAAATACTATACGAAAATAGACCACAAAGTCGGCATTTTAATTAAAAAAAACGGTCGGAGTTTTTTTTTTCTCATTATGCACTGCGTGCTCCAGGATTTTTTTTATGTGGTGCACACTGACCACACAGACCCATTCTCTCACATGTGGGCCTACTAGCTTTCTCCTGCCTGATTTGAAGCCGCTAGAATTTATGAGTATATATACGTCAAACACGGTACCTCGCAAACGTATATATACGGCCGCGACAGTCAAAGGGTTAATGCAGTATGGATGACCAAGGTTCTGTTTGTTGATTGGTTCAAGCATTAATTTATTCCTGCAGTCAAGATGCACCTGGCCAAAAAAGAAACCTTACTTTGTAATTCCCTTAACCCGTAAACGGTCCAAGCAGATCTACGTTCACATGTGTAGAGCTACAAAAGTAGATCTACGTTTTTTTACATATTTTCAAATATAACAAAAAAAAAGTTGATCAAAGTTTTTTTTACACATTTTCAAATGTAAAAAAACAAAAAGAAGATCTACTTTTTTTACATACCTTCAAATGTTGAAAAAACGTATATATACGTTTGGACCGTTTACGGGTTAATTATCCTGTAATCTTGCAGTCTCTGAAACCAGATGTGAGTGTTTTGTTTTTACCACCCAGTACTGTAACTTTGACGCAATCACTGGATTGAGAAGTTGTTAGCATAGTATGTGCTGCTGCACACCCAAGGTATATAATGAAAAAAAAAAAGCACATTAATTGACAACAGCTTTGAGACTGTCATGCCAGAGTTAATACATAAACTTAACATTGCAGATGCATTTACACATACAAAAGTGCTATGGGATGAAGCCAACCATAAATGCAGGCTAGGTTTAGTTATGACTTTCTGCAGTAAATAATTTTTCTGGCTTTACCTCAGTAGAGAGTCAGGTTCAAGAAATTGTGTCTGGCAATGGGAGACGGCCGACTTGTTAAAAAAGAAAAAAATGACCAGTTGCAATATAACAGTGAGGTACCTGTATAAGAAATAATTTTTCAGAGCTCGGTTCTCAGTTAGTACAGATGAAGAAGTAGGGAAATATGTAGGTAAAAAGTTGACACAGCAATGGTCATATGAACAATTACAAGTTATTATTAAAGTTTAAGAATTTTTCACCGAAAGGGACCCTAACACATCTAGAAGCATTACTGTGAAGCAAGCAGTGATGCTTCATCAGCTGTATAAAGTACTGCAAGGTAAACACACCGCAGATGCAGTACATAATACTTGATTACTCCATTATAAACTATCAGTCATTGATATCTCTACATTCATATCACAACAGCCCAGAAGGACCACATAAACCATTTCCACACTTCTAAGTCAACCAGCAACAACTACAGTCTAAGATTAATTGTATCTTACAATGTAGCTGCCATTGCTTGATGTGGTCCTTCTGGGCTGTGCTGATATGGGTGCACAGATGTCCATATAATTGATAGTTTTTATTGAAGTGCATTTATGGTCTGGTTCACCCTGCAGTACTTTTTAATAGGTGAATATAAGTCATCATTTCTTGCTAAAATGATCTCGTTTTACATTTTCAAGTGTATATTTTGAATCAGGTTAGAAAATAGTACACTTGGTGCGATTTTAGTGAAATTTGAAAATCCCGCACAAAATGGTGAAAAATGCTTAACTATAATTCAGGGATTTTTTGGGTCAAAAAAACTTTTTTTCTCAGAATGGAAAACAGTCATGCTGACAGTGTTTATTGGATCAATTTATCCCCACAAATGTGAAAAAATTCTGCATAGACAGCTCTCATAGATAGTTATGAAGTTTGTATAAGTTAAATGTGCCCTAAAAGGCACCTCACACAGGGAAGAAACAGACGAGAGAAAACAGCCTTGTATCATGCTAGAACTGTCTTTTTTCAGTCATTTCTCATATTTTCAGTAATGAATAGTCTCAGTGAAAATATTAGATTCCTCCATCGGGAATTACGTATTAATTAAGGCATCATGTGATGCTAAAATGATCTCATTTTACATTTTCAAGTGTATATTCTGAATCAACATAGAAAATAGTACACCTGGTGCAATTTTAGTGAGTTTTGAAAATCTGGCCCAAAATGGTGAAAAAGGCTGAACTATATTTTTGGGATTTTTTGGGGTGAAAAAACTTTTTCTCTCAGAATGGAAAACAGTCATGCTGACAGTGTTTATTGGATCACTTTATCCCCACGAAAGGTACACTACGTGGGTTTTACACAAAGGACAGAATTTTGAAACCCTAAGACCTGAGATGCCAGGTGTCCTCTCACAGTTGTAGCACTTCCATGATAGACAAGGGTGTGCAAGATTATCACTGGTTGGTTAGGTCAACACTAACCTGATATATGAAACCATACCCTCCTACATCATAGACTGACTGGCTGCATCAAAGTTAACTTATCAGATAAAAACACAACCTTCACATTTGGGTTCTCAGACACTTAAGACTGCAGAAATTATCAAGACAGGAGAATACTGAATCCAAATTGTTTTGTGGACAGGTGCATCTTGACTGCAGTAATGCAACACTGAGGCAGTCAAGAAAAAGGGCCTTGGTCATCCATGCTTAGGTGTTACTGCCAATTAATGGGCAAATAAGTTTTGTCGTAATGTTTTAAAGAAAGGGAATTTTCTGCAGGAATAATTAACATAGGATTCCACTTGAAATAACCTGTATTTGCAGAGAAAAAACTGAAGTGATCCTTACTGTCTTGAAATTAGCTGCACTTTTTTCTAGCTTACTAATGTACATTTTTGATGGCATATACTTCCAAAATATCTCTGTCTTGTCAATATTAAATACTTGGTGGGGACTGCTATCATCTCCACAGATAATTTGAGTAAAGTCCATAAACGTTGGGCCACTTGCCTTGATTCCTCCTCTTCCCCTCCTTCCCATCCTTTTCCAGTTATTTCCATCCTTCCATATCCTTCTTCCTTCCCATCTTACGACAGCTCTCGTCATCCTCGATTCGATTCGATTCAATAAACGTTTGTGCCTCGTATGAGCACAGTCCTTTTCCTTGTTTTCTCCTCAGCCCACACATTCAATAACATGTTTATCTTTGATCTCTACTTACGTATTGGACATTCTTTACGCCATGTCACAATCTCTTGTTTTCTTCTCATTGTATCTGATCTCAGACCAAAAATGCAGGCAGTGTAACACATGCACCACTTTGTATTACATATGTGAAATTCTCACTTCTCAAACACTGTCAGATCTTCATGCTTATTCTTCCTGGCACCTTCAGGCATTATTAGTATTTGTCTGGCATGGTGATGAAAAGCTTCCCCCCCCCCACACACACAAAAATAATATTTCAGTCTTCGAACCTTGGTGACTTTCATGATGGTTTAGAAAGACACGTAAGCAAACCAACTTGTCGGTATTTATTACCAAGGTTTATACCGACTTTCATGATGTACAGGGTGACTGAAACACAGTACATGAACCCAAAAGAAAATAAGTCACTGTCTGACTTTTTTTGGGTTATCCTACATAATATACAGTATATATGATAAGTACAATTATGTGTATCTGTACCTAAGTAAACTTAAGAAGGTTCAGGGTAGACTGAAGCATCGTTGCTTGATAACCCACAACACAGTGTGGGTGTCAAGTGACCACTTTGCAAGATCAGATATGAAATAAATAACCTGCACATAGGAGACAATATGATGATGTTTTAGTCCAGCTTGGACCATTGTGTGTCTAGTTAATGGTCCAGACTGGACTGAAACTTTGTCTTGTATGTGTGGGTTATTTGTGTATTGTTCCAGTCATAGTATTGTGCCTATTTATTCTTTTCAGATATGAAATCATGATTCTAGGCTAATTCCAATGTTGCTTAATTTAATGCTATTTATTTTTCAGGTAATGGACCGAAGTGACTTGAACAAAATGACAGCAAGCAACCTAGCTGTGGTATTTGGGCCTAACCTTGTACGACCACGAGGTGGACAGATGTCACTCAATGCTATTGCTCCCATCAACCTTTTTGTTGAGGTTATGTTATCTTACCATCATCAAATCTTTGCACTCTGAAGATGCAAAACTGTCATTACAATGCAAATAAAATATTAATATCAACCGAGATTTACGTAGGGGGCATGACTCACGAAATTGTAATGACACGATTGCAAACAAACCATACCATGGGTGGGGTTTGAACCCGCGATCAGAGACTCTCTGATCACGGGTTCAAACCCCACCCGTGTTATGGTTCGTTTTACATAGGGGGGTTGGGGGTAATCATGCATTTTTAAATATTCTTTCAGTAAAATTTATTATTTTACTAAAACCCAGATATCCAAGGGAAGGTAATCAACATTAGCCTTAGAGGCGGATATGTCATTACTGATTTTTTGCAGTTTTAATACATTCAAGTCATTCCTGATACCACTCATCATTACCAATCACTGCTAAGATTCTGTATTTTGTTTGTGACTGTCAGTAGAAAAGACAGTTGTATATCAAAGACTACAGTGGACCCCCGCATAACGATTACCTCCGATTGCGACCAATTATGTAAGTGTATTTATGTAAGTGCGTTTGTACGTGTATGTTTGGGGGTCTGAAAGGAATAATCTACTTCACAATATTCCTTATGGGAATAAATTCGGTCAGTACTGGCACCTGAACATACTTATGGAGTGAAAAAATATCGTTAACCGGGGGTCCACTGTATAGTATTAGCATTTTTAATGGAGAAATTCATAAATCAATCGTAAAGCAAAATAAACTTGTGTAAACTATCTGGTGCATCATAATACCTACACATTGTCCATATTCCAGAAAATTATTTTTGACATTCAAGAGGTTTCTTGTTACCAGCTAAATCAAACTTTTAATTATTTCTCAGTACCACCTGATACTTAGTGTTATAACAAAACCTTTGTTATGACGAGAATTGGTGGGAGTTTGTGTACCTCATTTACCTATGCTAGACTGTATCCTAGACTTGGAAACTACAGACATGCTATGTCTTATATAGTTCATGTTGATTTTGAACTTAAGATCACCTGGTGTAGTTATTATAATCGAAGAAAGTGCTATACTGACAAGGGTCACACTTGTGGCTCTTGTCAGGGAGGGTCGGCAGATGTTCACTCTGGAAAAAAGATGAATCTTCAACCATTTTTAAAAAGAAAAGGTAAGTGATTGTTTTATAAAGAATATAAGACAATATTAAAGTTGTGTGCATAGTGAGAGTGCTGAGACCAAGTCTACATGACGGTGAATTTAGTTAATTTAAAATTTGTTTCTGTTAAAAGCTTTCGAATGATTATTATTTTTGTAATTTACTGAAATTTCATGCAGTTATGATTTTATCAATTTTTTTTATTGTGGAATTAATCAACATGTTAGTTTCTTGAGCAGAAATCACACCTACTTACAGTCTAAGCATAATTTTTACTGTTTATATATACATATATACTTAATGTCAGTGTATGAATATATGCAGTGGTAGTCGGGCAATTTGAAATATATAATTTTCTTTAAGGTTATGTATTTTATATTAATACTATACTGTTTTGTGCATTAAATTTCAGCTGGCCATGTTAAATTTGCTGTTACAGCCTTATCGCTTTCCAATGTTATACTGGTTATCTGCAGTCACACCTTTCTTGTAACTAGTTATTGTTTAGTATATTTCTCCATTCCATTATAAACCCAAATGTCACTAGCAAGTGAGGTAACATTTTTGATATGCAGCCAGTGACTGAAGGTTGGAGCAACACTGTTTCTCACGTACTGTATTGAAGAACGACTGGAGGCAAGCACAACTGCCTCAGTCTCTCTCGCAAAAACTAAGTGAGCACGCTTTCCTTTATAAAAAGCTGCACATATACATATATGTAGCTGTAAACCAAAGACATCATAGTTAAATTTAGAGAATCTCTTTAAAATCGTAATTAATTTTTTGTATAGAAAAAATATAAAAATGATAAAATACCATTTTTTCAAGTATCCTTATTAGAATCTGCAAATCCATCATGGAAGCAAGCTAGAAACCATATACCAATTATCGTATTTCATAACGAATAAAACCATATACCTGTGTGAAACTGTTGTGAGCTAAATTATATAGTAAAGTCTATCATATCCAGTGTTCCAATAACAGACTTATGATATACATTTCCCTTTATAAAATTTAGAGTTCAAAAATAAAAATAGTGTGACATTGATGTATCTGTTAATGGTTCTATGGATAATCACATTTCTGTTAGGTAAAAGAACATAAATGCAACTAATGTGACATTTGTCAAGTCATTACAGCTTGACAAATGTCACATTAGTTGCACTTATGTCCTTTTACCTTACACATTGTCGGTAATTTTAGCAATATTATTACGATCACATTTTCCTTCCCCACACCCTAGCAGGTCTCCTAAATTATAAATGTATTACAGGAATATGAACCATTTTAAATTTTTCTTTGAGTGTGTAGTATATTGCCAATCATTGTACGAGTGAACACACCACCATAAAGCAGTATATTATAGCCCAAATATCTGACATGGCACTTGCAATATCAGCTAAAACTATATAGTAGGTGTATACAAGAAAATAGATACAGTAGGGCCCAGACTTATGTTTTACACTTACAACATTAATATTTCAGGAGTAATGAATTTTTCCAAAATGTACTCCTAATTTTGTGTACGTATAAAGCTAACATTTAATTGGTTAAGAATAGATTTAATACACAAATAACCTGCACATAGAAGAGAGGAGCTTACAATGATGTTTCGGTCCAACTTGGACCATTTACAAAGTCACACTAACAAAAAGGAGAGAGTATATATAGGATAGCAAACAGGGACGGGACAAGAGAGGTAATAGTGGAGTCAATCAAATGCTAAGAGGAGCTAGGAGCCCACAGAGGGGGAATAATAAAAGATAAATACCCAAGGCAGAAGAAAGAATTAGGTTAAGTCACGGGTGTTGTGAATGGGAATCTAATTCCTTGATATTCATGTCCACTGCTGAGATACAGGTTTTGCCTTTTCCGTGTACCGCAAGCCTATGCACAGTGGCATGTACATTCACTACTTCTGTCAAGAAAAGTGTTCTTATCTCCTTCTTTCTCTGCGCTTGTGATCCTCAGTTCCTCGAATGAGAAATTTCCACTCTTCATAATTCATTTTTCCATCTTGGCTACCCTTCCCATTTCATAGACTCTGCCTTCTCACGTGCTAAATGGATTTTCTTCTCTACTCCTGTCCTCTGCCTTCACTACATTTGCACTTTTTCTAATCTCAGCAACTCTCTCTGTTCCTTAGACATCAAACTTAATTTTTGCACTAATCTAGTTCATACCTCTCCTCCCTCTATAGATGCTCCTGGTGTCTACTCTCTTGTTCCTCCTGTCCTCTTCAGTACTTTGGAGAAACTGGCTGATCCCTTTCTGACAGACTTAGGGAGCACAAAAGTAGTGTTAGGTTTGCCAACACCAACAGTGCTCTTTTCTGTCATGTCAGATATCACAGCCATCCTATTAACTGGTCTTCTGCTAAAACTGTCTACCCTACTTCCAACTTTCACAGTTAGGTTGAATCCTTCCTTGTATGAATCTTAGTCCTGGCTTTGTCTCTGTAGATGCCTTCCTTTCCCACTACATTGTAAATTACTCCAAACTTCAGAACACCCATGACATTAACCTGATTCATTTTTCCTCTTTCTCCTGCCCTTGGGTATTTATTATTTCCCCCCCCCCCCCCTGTTTGGGCTCCTAACTCCCTTGCAGTGCTCCTCGTTCTTACTATTACCTGTCTTGTCCGTCCCTGTCTGCTGGCCTATATATACTCCCTCCTTCTCGTTAGTGTACTTTGTAAATGGTCCAAGTCGGACAGAAACATCGTTGTAAGCTCCTCTCTTGTAGGTGAGGGTTATTTGTGTATTATTCCAGTCATGGTATTGTGCCTTTTTGTTATTTATGGACCCTGCAGGTAAGCGTCTTATTCTTTCCAACTTTTTTAATGTTCTTCCTTCTTTTAGACCCCTCTTTTGTCATTATGAGGCTGCTCTTATTGCTACCAGGCGTCGTAAGAATCATCTTCACTTTGTACATGACTGTCTTGCCCTTTTCCAGAAACCCAACCCACTGGGCACTGCCTTTCCTGATCATGCCCGTCTCCTACTTCAACAGCTCATTCTTTCTACTGAGTCTCGGGCGCGGAGGAGTGGTGTTTCTCTCGTATATCATTTTAATTAAGTTACAAAGTGCAGAAATGGAGAGAATGCTAAGCACGGAGAGAGCAAAATCCATTATGAGGACATTTCAAAACAGTGCCTACTATGTGGACGGAGGGATACATTTCAGCAAGCAATGCAGAGCAGAGTTTACCATTACTGTAGGGCTTCAAAGTTTAATGCTGTTGTTTTGCAGCAAGGAGATGAACAGCGAGCATGCAGTATGTGAGAACAGTCAGTCAGGCACCCATCAGAAAAATTTAAGACAAAAAAAGATGACCCAGGATTTTGAGTTTATCGAGCAGTACCAGCAAGATACATTACAGTACAAGCTGGCCATTAGTCACATCGAAGCTATTGGGTTACAACTAGTTGAAGAATTTCTTGAAACAGATGAATTCATCCTATTTCAAGTGCAATTTATGTGGTGCCCATAGACTATTAGAACCTATGTATTGGCACCAAACACACAGAGAAATGTATTAATTTACGTGTTGATCATCAGTCATGTCTTCAAAGACTCGAGAAGAATATCGACAATTTGTAATCATACCTGAGGGTCAGCGCATCATGGACATTAAAGCAATTATTGGCCAAGACTTCGATACAAGTAGGTAAATCATAAACGATATTTCCGAGGAAAGCTTGCTGGCAGGGATATATATCAACCTGTGTGTCCAAGAGATGCTAAACTCAAGGAAGCTCCAGAGAGTGACTGCAAGGTGAACAAATTTAAAGCAAAACTGCCTTCAGGTGATGTACTTGGAACACAAGCACTCTCTGACAAGTCAGTGCAATGCCAAAACAAAGTTGCCAAGGAGCCTTTGGAAAACATCATGTTAAAACTTAATGCAGTACTTCTAGAGGATCAACCCTGCCATGCAATCAAGAGCCCAGAAGCAATGTTCCACTTAGCAGTAACACTGCATGAAGTCATAAATTACAGAGCAAGAAATACTGTGGATGCTAAGGAGAGAGAAAAACAAGATGAACTTAAGTAAGGTATTAGGTTGGGTGAAAAAACGACTGCTGCCCAGTGTTCAGGGTTTTGTAGCCAAAAAATCTGTACAGTAAGAGCCTGATCCACCAGGAGGCCTGGTCTCAGACCGAGCTGCAGGGGCGTTGACCCATGAAACCCTCTCTAGACGATGCCTTTACTCTCCATCAGTGTCAACATGCTCTCTTCCACAAGATTTCTTTAACCTTCTCACTACCATTGTGTGCCTGAATTCATTCTTCTAAACTACAGAATAAACTTTAATGTCTCATCTCAGATAGCCCTTGGTCTAAATTCTCCCTCACCGACTGTGTTACTAACTTGTCTTCTGTCTCACTCTCTCAGAATGAGCTTGAACTTCTTGGTTTTGGCCTTTTCTTTGCCACTTAATCAACCCTTTGCACAGGTATTGACTTGATTAACTCTTTTCGTCAGTATCGCTCTCATAATTTTCCTGCTCTTGATAGTCTGTTTTCTAAGAACCACCACCTTCCTCGCTGCTATCAACTTCCCATTTCTTCTCTTAAATCTAACACTAACATTGTCATATTATCTTCTGATGAAGATAATTTGGTAGTTATCCTTGATTGTGAGGATTACCTCCATAAAGGTGAAGCCCTGCTCCCTGACTCATGTACCTACACTCCTCTCAATAAGTAACTAAGGACTCTCTCTCCCTGACTTTGACCTTGTTCAACATTTTCATGTCATCTGTCCCTCTCAAAACTCATGAACCTGATCTTCCTCTGCATCCCATCATATCCTCTAGAGGTTCTGTCTCTTGCTTCTTGGCTGGCCAAAACCCTCACTCCCTTTCTTGGTACTTTTTCTCCTGCCCCTTCCCCCCTATGTCACTCTCAGGACTTCATTGAACGGGTTCGCTCTCTCCTGACCTGTACGATGGTTAGTCTTGACATTGAGTCCCTCATGTCCTTAATTTTCTCAGAGAGAAAGCCAATGAAGGTTTACTTCATGTCCCTATACCTACTGATGTCTTTCTTGATCTTATCCACCTTTGTGTGGACTCAAATTCCTTTCCTTGCAAGGTAAATATTATTCTCAAACCTTCGGTGTTGCTATGGGCTCTCCTGTTCTTGCTAATCTTTACATTAAATACTTTGAGACTTCTTATTCCTACTGAAGAATTGAGACACTTATGCAAATCTTTATTGAAGAAACGTTTCTCCACACAGTGGCTTCATCAGTCCTATACAAAGCAGGAAGGTATAAGGAGTTTAAAATAATCAGTCCATCAATCTTGTAGGAAGTACAGCACAGGACTGTAGCAGTGGCTTATATACTGTAGTCAGGTGAGGCAAAGCAGGAGAAGTCATAACGGAACCATCCACTAGTCTGTCTTCGTCTAAAGGTTGGACAAGTTTTGAAGAATTCTTTGTATCAATATCCCATAATAATGCAGTGTCTGGCAGATGTGATGGTTTTGAAAACCATTCCCACACACTGCATCATTATGGGATGCTGATACAAAGAATTCTTCAAAACTTGTCCAACCTTTGGATAAAGACCTACTACTTAGACTAGGAGATGGTTCCACTATGACCCCACCTCCAGTATATAAGCCACTGCTACAACCCTGTCCGCTGTATAGCCCTTGTGGCTTAGCGCTTCTTTTTTATTGTAATAATACAACCCTGTGCTTTACTTCCTACAAGATTGATGGACTGAACACATCGACTTAAGGCTGAGGCGCTGATTACCTCAAACTATTGCTCTCCTTATACCTTCCTGCTTTGTATAGGACTGATGAAGCTACTGTGTGGCAAAACATTTCTTCAATAAAGATTCCCACACATTGCATAAGTGTCTCAATTCAACTTTGTTTTAAAAACCATTCATCACACTTATTCCTACTATTGATGTGTGACCTTCACTCTGGCTCCACTATATAGATGACATCTCTGCTCTCATGACTAGTGTCTTCCAATCATTTCTTGATGCTCTTAAAAATCTTGTTCTTTCCATTAAGTTTAAACCTGAATGAGAATCTAATTCCTTGATGTTCATGCCCATTGGTCAGATATAGGTTTTGCCTTTTCCATGTACTGCAAGCATATATAGTCACTACTTTTCTTATAATGCTTCCTTTGTCAAGAAAAATATTAACTCCCTTTCTCTGCATTTTTGATTCTCAGTTCCGTGAATCAGAAATTTCCACTCTTCATAATTCATTTTCCCATCTTGGCTACCCTTCCCATTTCACGTGCTAAATAGATTTCTTCTCTACTCCTGGGAATTCTCCTGTCCTCTGCCTCTAATCTCAGCAATGCTCTCCATTCCATAGTTATCAAACTTAACTTTTTGCACTAATCTAGTTCATACCTCTCCTCCCTCTGTAGATGTTCCTGGTGTCTACTCTCTTGTTCCTTCTGTCCTCTGCAGTAACTGGCTGATCTCTTTCTGACAGACTTAGGGAGCACAAACGTAGTGTTAGACTTGCCAACACCAACAATACTCTTCTGTCATGTCAGAGATCACATTATTAATCAAGGGAGAAGCGCTAAACCCAGAGAATTATACAGCGCCTGTGGGGGGGGATGGAAGGTGTTCAGGGAACTGGAGCACAGATCCAGTACCCCTCACCAGCATCAAGGAACTTTCCTTGAGGGGTCAGAAATCACAGCCATCCTATTAACTGGTCTTCTGCTAAAACTTTCTACCCTACTTCAAACTTTTACATTCAAGTTGAATCCTTGTCTCTGTAGATGCCTTCCTTTCCCACCACATTGTACGATGCTCCAAACTTCATGACAATCTAATTCTTTTTTCCTCTTTCCCTTTAGGTATTTATTCTCCACCCCCCCCAGGTGGGCTCCTAGTAGTGCTCCTCTTTCTTAGTATTTGACTGACACCATTACTATTACCTGTCTGCAGGCCTATATCTACTCCCTCCCTTTTCGTTAGTGTGACTTTGTAAATTGTCAAACTTGGACTGAAATGTCGTGTTTAGCTCCTGTGTGTGTGGGCTATTTGTGTATTATTCAAATGACGATATTGTGCCTTTTTTTAGTTAATAGATTTAGCATTTTCTTAAGGTTGAAATATAAATATAATTTTCGATTAGTGTTTTACCAAAAATAGACAATACCAGTGGATTTTTTTTTTTATTTGCTAGAGATTAGTTAAGAAATGCAGATTAAATATGTGGTATAGCCACCACACCATTGCTACCGTGTAATGGATGCCAGTCATTAATCAAGGAAGTCTGACCTCAGGTTGGGTTGCTAAAGCAGAACGACCATTGAAACTAATCAGAGGTGTGTGTATATGTGGTTTAGCAAGATGTGTGAGCAAACACTAGGACATTGATCAGAAAATGTTTTGGTCCTGGGACCTTAGAAGTGATCGAAGTCAGTATCTATTACCAAAGTTTATAGCATACCATAAATGTAAAATATTCATGAAGAAAGGAATTACTGATATATCAAGTATTTAATTTAATGAAGAATATTATTTCATGATTAAGCAAAGAAATTTTCATAGTATAATTAATATTACTAAACCATACTGGTACAAGATACTGACACTAGTAGACACACCTGCAATTATATGTGATCCTTTACTGAGGGCATTTAGCTCACTAAGTATGTTCTATAATGCTTAAACACAGTATCACCAATAAAGAATTCCATATACAATAACTACATGTTTTTATAATTACAAAACTGTGGATTTCCTCCTTATTAACCTGATTCTTTTCAATCCCATCAAAGAATAATGAAAAATTATGTAGGTGAAGAGTGTGGCAGTATATATGACTCATTTCAATTTGGAGGAAGGCTAAGCTTATATCTTGATCTTTCCTCTTAACTTTTCATCAGTAAACCTTATACATCTATTTTTGAATCCCTGTATAACATCTACTGTGTCACTATTCAATTCTTACCACTAACATTAAAGAAATGCTTCTTAATATTTGTTATGTAATACAGAGTTATTAACAGTATAACGAATATATTATGCCCTCTAAACCATGACAATCTCTTCCATTTCTAAGTACTGTATGCCAGATTTTCTGGTCTATAAAAGTCTTGGAAAATCAGCCTGCGCCTTATATGCTCAAGGTCAAGGGCAGGCTTTAGCGTAAAATAAAAGGGTAATTGAATATGATTATTGATTTACTGTTATGATAATTCCAACATGCGCCTTATATGTCAGAAAATACAATTCTTTGGGTTTAGATGATACTATACCTAAAGCACACTATCAAATCTTGTTACATGGATTATATTACATTTTAGGGCATGTACTGCATGAAAGTAGAAGGTAGTGAAATTGTGTTGTATACTGTTCTATATGAATGGTTCAGGTCTTGATGGTAGTGCCATCAGTTCATAACCGATGAACTTGGATTCAATCCTAGGATGGATGGACATCTTTCCTATATTTGTTGCCCATGTTCACCTAGCAGTAATAGGTACCTCTTGTGTTATTCAACTTTTGTGGGTGTCATCCTGAGGGGTTCGGTACTATACATTAGATAAAACAACACTGTCTCATTATTGGATATGGTAGTTTTTCTAAAACTTTGCAATTACACTAAATCTTCCCATTTGTATAAAAGCTGGCCCAGCTTCCATGTTAGGATTAACAAGATTCTACAATAGTTATTAGTGATGTGTACTAGGTGTACATTTTATACAAGCTTCAGAGCACATATTTAATATACTGTGCTGTGTGATAGAGACTGTTTTAGTTATGGCAGTTTTTAGATCAGTTTGTGCGAATATCCAAACAATACATTTTATATTGTCTATTGTGAAAGATTATTTAGCCCTGCAGAGATTAATATAAAATAAATTAACGAAACACCGAAGAAACTGCCGTAGCCAAGATTGTGTCAAGAATGCAGTGTAACACGTGTGAAATAATCAAAGAGGCACAAACATATGGTCTTAAGAAAATTATCATACTCATTATTAATAATGATCCATGATCATTATTAATGATTGTATCATCATCGTGGGCTACCACTAAACCTATAAGGGCAATTGGAGGTAATCAGGTTTGATCTAAGGAAGAGTATCTCTAGTTTCTGGGAACAAGAGCCCTTCATCAGCATTAAAGGGTGTATTTGGGTAGTGGTCATTTTCTTTAGGCCTAAAAATGTTTTAGTAAGAGCACTAAGATAGTGGTGATGTGTCCATTTTTATTATCTTCTGGTACATGAAAGAGTATACATATGAAATATATATTTTTTAAGGTTCAGTGACACATATATAAATTGGTTAAGGAACAATTCAGAACTGCCAAAGTAATGTGTCCAAAATATTGTTAAATGCTCAGTGTATCATATCACTGAGACAAATATACAGGTATAATCAATTCCATTACACGTGACAATTAATCTCACGGTAATTTTGTGTGAAAAGGACTAGGAGATATATATTGTAAAGAAACAATAAGTGTATCTTCAGTCAGAAGTGAAAAGTCTGACTTCTGATTCACCTCATGTCTGCTGTGAATATAGCAAATGAAAGACAATGCTGAATGAAATACATTAGGAAAATCTTTCTTACTGTAGTGTAAGGTGATTAGAAAGATTTTATAATATTGAGAGTGAAAATACAGGTTCATCTAATGAAGTGTTTGTTGTTGTGATAGAATGGAGTGGTTCATTATTTTCTAAAATTCCAGCTGCTACGCATATAGTGACAAGATCAATGATTGCTAATTGTTTCTAAGTTTATACACGTGCTAATGCCCACTGTTATATTTATGGTGAAGTACCACATAGTAAGAAACAATCACTGATGACCCGTAAGGGTCATCAATGATAGTTTTTATGAAATATATTAGCAGACTTGTGGTCAATTCATTTCAGTTAAATTTTTCACACATTCATTTTGCTAACTGCACTTCAGTTTAATGTAGTAATGATTGTATATTAGATACAGAATAGAAAAAAGAGAAAGTCCAAACATATCATAAGGTGCGGCATTGTTTGGTGGACTTAACTTGTCTCTGTGAAATACACATGGGAGGGGAGGGAGGGGGGGTAATGTGTATGGCTAAAAGTTTTTTTTTTTGAGATATTTTTGCATATTCCTACCAGTAAAACGTATGTTGTTTTAAGTGGGAATTAAAAGTACAAAGTAAATTGATTACACATTCCCTACACAGTTGTGTTATCAGCGCTTTCCTAGATTACGAAGTACAAAATTATGAAAATACACGGTAGCAAACATGTTATCAATATACTAAATTACTGTTGCTAAGACATCTCCTTTACATATAAAACTGCTATCAGATAAACATTATTTATTATCACACTGGCCGATTCCCACCAAGGCAGGGTGGCCCGAAAAAGAAAAACTTTCACCATCATTCACTCCATCACTGTCTTGCCAGAAGGGTGCTTTACACTACAGTTTTTAAACTGCAACATTAACACCCCTCCTTCAGAGTGCAGGCACTGTACTTCCCATCTCCAGGACTTAAGTCCGGCCTGCCGGTTTCCCTGAACCCCTTCATAAATGTTACTTTTGCTCACACTCCAACAGCACGTCAAGTATTAAAAACCATTTGTCTCCATTCACTCCTATCAAACACGCTCATGCATGCCCGCTGGAAGTCCAAGCCCCTCGCACACAAAACCTCCTTTACCCCCTCCCTCCAACCTTTCCTAGGCCGACCCCTACCCCGCCTTCCTTCCACTACAGACTGATACACTCTTGAAGTCATTCTGTTTCACTCCATTCTCTCTACATGTCCGAACCACCTCAACAACCCTTCCTCAGCCCTCTGGACAACAGTTTTGGTAATCCCGCACCTCCTCCTAACTTCCAAATTACGAATTCTCTGCATTATATTCACACCACACATTGCCCTCAGACATGACATCTCCACTGCCTCCAGCCTTCTCCTCGCTGCAACATTCATCACCCATGCTCTCATACATTCCCCTCTTTGCCTCCAAGGACAAAGTTCTTTGTCTCCACAGACTCCTAAGTGCACCACTCACTCTTTTTCCCTCATCAATTCTATGATTCACTTCATCTTTCATAGACCCATCCGCTGACACGTCCACTCCCAAATATCTGAATACATTCACCTCCTCCATACTCTCTCCCTCCATTCTGATATCCAATCTTTCATCACCTAATCTTTTTGTTATCCTCATAACCTTACTCTTTCCTGTATTCACCTTTAATTTTCTTCTTTTGCACACCCTACCAAATTCATCCACCAATCTCTGCAACTTCTCTTCAGAATCTCCCAAGAGCACAGTGTCATCAGCAAAGAGCAACTGTGACAACTCCCACTTTGTGTGTGATTCTTTATCTTTTAACTCCACACCTCTTGCCAAGACCCTCGCATTCACTTCTCTTACAACCCCATCTATAAATATATTAAACAACCACGGTGACATCACACATCCTTGTCTAAGGCCTACTTTTACTGGGAAATAATTTCCCTCTTTCCTACATAATCTAACTTGAGCCTCACTATCCTCGTAAAAACTCTTCACTGCTTTCAGTAACCTACCTCCTACACCATACACCTGCCACATTGCCCCCTTATCCACCCTGTCATACGCCTTTTCCAAATCCATAAATGCCACAAAGACCTCTTTAGCCTTATCTAAATACTGTTCACTTATATGTTTCACTGTAAACACCTGGTCCACACACCCCCTACCTTTCCTAAAGCCTCCTTGTTCATCTGCTATCCTATTCTCCGTCTTACTCTTAATTCTTTCAATAATAACTCTACCATACACTTTACCAGGTATACTCAACAGACTTATCCCCCTATAATTTTTGCACTCTTTTATCCCCTTTGCCTTTATACAAAGGAACTATACATGCTCTCTGCCAATCCCTAGGTACCTTACCCTCTTCCATACATTTATTAAATAATTGCACCAACCACTCCAAAACTATATTCCCACCTGCTTTTAACATTTCTATCTTTATCCCATCAATCCCGGTTGCCTTACCCCCTTTCATTTTACCTACTGCCTCATGAACTTCCCCCACACTCACAACTGGCTCTTCCTCACTCCTACAAGATGTTATTCCTCCTTGCCCAATACACAAAATCACTGCTTCCCTATCTTCATCAACATTTAACAATTCCTCAAAATATTCCCTCCATCTTCCCAATAAACATTATTATATTCACAAAATGCACTACAAAGCATTTTCTATGATTGTACAGTTATTATAATCAAAACTAAGCACTAAACCCATCTGGGTCATACAGTCTGTGGTTGTATACTGTGTGGAATTTTTATACAGAAATAATTATATTTGTATAATTTTATTAACTTACAATACTTTTGTCTATTAATTTAGTAAAATAAAAACAAAGGCTAGCAATGACTGGTCTTGTCACAGAATTCCTCAGTCCATTGTAGCATTTGGGATTAAAGAAGAAAGTTGTAAAGGGTCCATGACTTACAACATTCCTTTTTATTACAAAACAGTTACGTGATCACAGTTTTTTGTTATAATTTTCCAATAGTTTTAGACTCCTGTGCAATAGAGCTTTTGCAGCGGTGAAGCACAAATTAGAAAAAAATAGTTATGCTGAGTCACACTTTAAGTCCTTCAGAGTATTTTCATGGAACTGTAATCTTAACTGTTCTTAAACGAGCACAGCCCAAAGTTGACTAATATAATTTATCTGGTTAAGCTTTTACAATACGCAGTCTGTGTTTTATGTACACTAATGGTTAGTATGAATATGTACAAAGGTATTATTAATAAGTTAACTGGGATTATCTTAATAGATCACTACAGTGTGGAAGGAGAAAAAGATTATTTCTTTTTTATTAGTACCCAGTTCCATAGTTTTATTTATTTAATAAACCTAGGTTATGGTGCAACACATGGTTAATGAGAATTATGTTTAAGGTTATTTGATTATAATGTAGAGGTACTAAACTTATCAGGGTCATACAACCCCTTGGGAAATTGAAGACAATCAGGTTCAGTCCAAAGAGGAGGATATTATACTACATTAATGGGAAAGTTATGTTACGAGTGTTTCCTGATGCGGGTCTTTGTCATATGATGACTCACAGCTGGAGCTTTTGGTCATTTGACCAAAGCCTTCCACTCCACCCCTTTAAAAATTATTATTATAACCACTAGCACGTTAAGAGACCATACAATAAGTGTCAGGGGCCCGAGACTGTTCAACTGCCTCCCAGAACACATAAGGGGGATTACCAACAGACCCCTGGCACTGGACAAGCACCTAAAGTCAGTTCCTGATCAGCCGGGCTGTGGCTCGTACGTTGGTTTGCGTGCAGCCAGCAGCAACAGCCTGGTTGATCAGGCGCTGATCCACCAGGAGGCCTGGTCACAGACCGGGCCGCGGGGGCGTTGACCCCCGAAACTCTCTCCAGGTAAACTCCAGGTATAAGATTACACTGTGAATGGGGAAGTGCTAACCCACAAGAAACATGTAGTGCCTGGTGAACTGAAGATAATCTGTTGTGGTTTAAGGAAGGGAAGGGTCACTCTTAGTTCATGGCTCAAGTTCTTCACCAGCATTAAGATGCCCTCTCTTGTAATTAGTCTAATTTAATACTTATCCATCCTGTGGGTGGTAACTGCAAGGTTACAGAGGCACATAATGGGTCAGAGGCCTACGTCTCAAAGTTGTCACAGTCACACAAGTTAGTGGTAGCAAAGACAGCGAAGTGCATCATGCGTGTACTGGCACAGTTCTCACACCATGTGTTGTTCCACAACCCACTTATTGTTATATCATTGAATAAAAGAAAAGAACTACATTACTGTACTGTGATGAAAATTCATTCAAAATTGATTTGATAGTATTATTATAATGGTCTTAATATTTGTCTAGTCTTGAGTGTATATATATATAATCTGATATTAAAGATCTTAATGTATTCTTAATTTTTATTACCTTCTAAATAAAAAATAACCATATTTATATATTAAAGAACGTTTTTAAATTATAATCATAAAGAACCAAACCCAGAAAGGTCATACAGATTTTTATACAGAAACAAAGAAGGCATGATTTTTACATTCAAATATTTGACAAACTCTGCCAGGGTATAACGTATTAATACACAAATAACCCACACATACAGGAGAGGAGCTCATGGCAATGTTTTGGTCCGAGCTTACATTGTCGTAAGCTCCTCTCTCTGGGTTATTTGTGTATTGTGCCTTTCTGTTATTCACAAGTACATACATGTATTTAAGGGGCATCTGAGCAAGGCAATAAAATATTAGATTAATGTCACTTAAAAGTGTTATATTGTATCAAAACATATCCTGTCACAGAGAAATACCAAGTATCCAGAATCACTGCCCCTAATACATACAGGCCCCATTTATACAGCAGGTTAGGTTCTGGGCTATTGTAGAGCTCCACTTATAAGGCAAGTTAGGGTCAAGGCTACTGCTGTTAAGTGAAACACATCCGTTTTTTTTACATTCAAATGCATATAAAAGCCTGATAACATTTACACTATTGTATATTAAGTGAGCAATAAAGCTAGGCCTAAAGAATACATAAACAGTACACATTACTTAAAATATTAGCCTATACTGAGTGGTGAATATGCTTATTGTAGCAAGTCTGAATAAATGAATATAAGAAGGAACACTGCAACAGGCTTACTGGCCTATGCGAGGCAGGTTCAATTCTCCCATCGGTTTAAGTCAATGCCTTGACCTAATCAGGTCAGTCATGTCACTTAAGAGAGGAGCACGGCATCTGACCTAGTAGCACAAGCTCTAATATAATGGTTATAATTTAAAAGCACTATTAACAAAACACTTAAGCGGAGCCGTCCTGTAATAAGAAACAGTGTCATCGTGACCGTTTTCCATTCCGAGAGAAAAAGTTATTTCACCTCAAAAAATCCCTGAACTATAGTTCAGCATCTTTGGCTGAATTTTCAAAATTCATTAAAACCACATTAGGCATACTATTTTCTATGCTGAATCAAAATATACATTGACAATATAAAAAGATATAATTTTAGCATCATACGAGGTCTTAATTTCCACGTACAGTGGTACCCTGAGTTTCGTACAACTCCCAACTCAAACAATTATGTAAGTGTATTATTTTAAGTACTTTTGCTAGTGTATTTTTGGGGATCTAAAACTGACTAATCTGACATTATTCCGTATGGGAACAAATTCGTTCGGTAATGGCACTCGAACAGCCTTCTGGAACGAATAATGGTCAAAACTCTGGGTACCACTGTATAATTCCTAATGGACGACACTCATGTTTTCATTGAGACTATTATGGAAAAAAAAAAATAGAAATCATAAAACATATTTAAAAATACCAAATATAACTGAAAAAGAGAGAGTTTTAGCATGATACAAGGCTGTTTTCTCTTGTCTATTTCTTCCCTGTCCAAGGTGCCTTTTACAGTACACTTAACTTATACAACTCTTATAACAATCTATGAATGCTGTATATACAGAATTTTGTCATGTTTGTGGGGATAAATTGATCCAACAGTGTCATCCTATGCCCTAACTAATTAGGTTAAGTTCTCTACCCTGAGGTTTAAAGACTGCCCACCCTTGCAATCTGCCTTCTCCTGTGATCCTGCTTGCAATCTGCCTTCTCCTGTGATCCTGCTTGCAAGCTGCCTTCTCCATTATTACTACAATCAAAAAGAAGCGCTAAGCCACAAGGGCTATACAGCGCTGCAGGGTAGGGAAGGAAGCGAGGGTATTGGGCAGCAGAAGGGAGGAGGGATGATCAGTAGGTTACAAAAAATAGCTGGGCAGGGGATAGTACGGGGGTAGAGGGTAGCAAGAGATTCAAGTAGAAAGGGCTGAAGGTATCAGAGTTTGTGAAGTCAGTCAGTTGTTGTCAAAAAGTCAATGAGAGAGTCCGGATGAAAGGTGGGTCCATCAGCGAGAAGGGAAGGTAAAGAGAGAGAAGCGGAGCGAAGACAACGACGGAGGTAAATTCTGCGTGCTCGTTGATAAAGTGGGTAGTCTAACAGAATGTGGCTGACTGATAATGGAACTTGGCAATTCTCACAGAGAGGAGCAGGGCGCCTCTCCATGAGATATCCACGAGTAAGACGAGTATGGCCAATGCGAAGACGGGAGAGAGTAGTCTCCCAACCTCGACACTGTTGACAAGAAGACTGCCAGTAACCTATACTCGGTTTAATAGATTGAAGTTTGTTACCGAGCATAGTAGACCAACGTTGTTGCCAATGGGTGTGAAGGTGGGCAGCTATTGTAGCAAAATAGTCCGTAAATGGAATACCTCTATATGAAACTGGTAGGTCATGTATTGCTGACCGCGCAGCAGTGTCTGCCTGTTCATTGCCCTGTATGTCAACATGACCAGGGACCCAACAAAAAACAATATCTTTATGCTTGGTAAAGATGCGACGTAGCCAAAGTTGGATACGGAGGACTAAGAGGTGAGGTGTATCAAATTTCTGTATAGCCTGTAAAGCACTAAGGGAGTCTTGAGACAACCACAAATGATGACACAGGCATAGATGCAATACGGATAAGTGCTGCAAGTATGGCATACAATTCAGCAGTAAAAATACTAGCCGAAGATAGTAAATGCCCTCGTACAACGCTCTCCGGAAACACTGCTGCGAATCCTATGCCGTCAGAAGACTTAAAGCCATCTGTGTACACTGCCATGGCATGAGAATGGAAGTGGTCAAGAAAAAGAGAGCGGGAAGCGACCGTAGACAGGTGGGCTTTCGAGCAAGAGAGAGAAAGAACAGACTCGAACAGCTGGAACTTCCCAGGGGGGGTAGGGAAAAGTGAGATGCTACATGAACATAGAAAGGTGGTAATTGAAGAGAAGACAAGCGAATGTAGATGAAGAGAGAAGGGACGGAGTAAACAGGGGCGGCGAACAAATAAAGAATGTCTACTAATATCAGTGACCATTCTATAAATGGAAGGATTGCGGAGATCATGAGAGCGTACATAGTAGCGAAGGCGATCGGATAAGGATGGAACGTTTGCTTCTGCATAGAGGCTCTCAACAGGGGAAGAGCGAAAAGCACCAAGGCATAAACATTATCCTTGGTGATGAATGGGGTTAAGGCTAGAGAGAGTAACAGGAGAGGCCGCTGAATAGATCTGGTCACCATAATCAAGTTTCGATAAAATGAGGGTGGAATGTAGGCGAAGGAGAGTTCGATGATCAGCTCCCCATGAAAGATGAGCAAGGGTTTTAAGAAGGTTTAGTCAGCTGTGACAAGTTGCCTTCAGAGAGGTAATGTGAGGTTTCCAGGATAACCTACGGTCAAAGAGGAGGCCCAGAAACCTGACTGTATCACGTTCAGGGATACGGGAGCCATAGAGGTACAAAGGATGATCGGAGATGACAGAGCGTCTAGTGAAAGTAATTTGGTGAGTTTTGGTACTTGAAAATTTAAACCCATGTGTGGTGACCCAATTGGAAACACGGTCGACCGCATGCTGGAGAGAAACTGTAATGAGGTGACAGTCAGCGCCTGCACAGGCAATAGCTGAAGGTATCAGAATTTGTGAAGTCAGTTGTTGTCAAAAAGTCAATGAGAGAGTCCGGATGAAAGGTGGGTCCATCAGCGAGAAGGGAAGGTAAAGAGAGAGCAGCGGAGCGAAGACGACGACAGAGGTAAATTCTGCGTGCTCGTTGATAAAGTGGGCAGTCCAACAGAATGTGGCTGACTGATAATGGAGCTTGGCAATTCTCACAGAGAGGAGCAGGACGCCTCTCCATGAGATATCCATGAGTAAGACGAGTATGGCCAATGCGAAGACGGGAGAGAGTAGTCTCCCAACCTCGACACTGGTGATAAGAAGACGGCCAGTAACCTATACTCGGTTTAATAGATTGAAGTTTGTTGCCGAGCATAGTAGACCAACGTTGTTGCCAACGGGTGTGAAGGTGGGAAGATATTGCAGCAAAATAGTCCGTAAATGGAATACCTCTATAAGAAACTGGTAGGTCATGTACTGCTGACTGCGCAGCAGTGTCTGCCTGTACGTCAACATGACCAGGGACCCAACAAAAAACAATATCTTTATGCTTGGTAAAGATGCGGCGTAGCCAAAGTTGGATACGGAGGACTAAGGGGTGAGGTGTATCAAATTTTTGTATAGCCTGTAAAGCACTAAGGGAGTCTGAGACAACCACAAATGATGACACAGGCATAGATGCAATATGGATAAGTGCTGTAAGGATGGCATATAATTCAGCAGTAAAAATACTAGCCGAAGATAGTAAAAGCCCTTGTACGACGCTGTCCGGAAACACTGCTGCAAATCCTACGCCGTCAGAAGACTTAGAGCCATCTGTGTACACAGCAATGGCATGAGAATGAGAGTGAAAGTGGTCAAGAAAAAGCGAGCGGGAAGCGACCGTAGACAGTTGGGCTTTTGAGCAAGGGAGGGAGAAAGAACACACTCGAACAGATGGAACTTCCCAGGGGGGTAGGGAAAAGTGAGATGCTACATGTACATAGAAAGGTGGTAGTTGAAGAGAAGACGAGCGAATGAAGGCGAAGAGAGAAGGGACGGAGTAAACAGGGGTGGCGAACAAATAAAGAATGTCTACTAATATCAGTGACCATTCTATAAATGGAAGGATTGCGGAGATCATGAGAGCGTACATAGTAGCGCAGGCAATGGGCATCACGGCGATCGGTTAAGGATGGAACGTTCGCTTCTGCATAGAGGCTCTCGACAGGGGAAGAGCGAAAAGCACCAAGGCATAAACGTAATCCTTGGTGATGAATGGGGTTAAGGCTAGAGAGAGTAGCAGGAGATGCCGCTGAATAGATCTGGTCACCATAATCAAGTTTCGATAAAATAAGGGTGGAATGTAGGCGAAGGAGGGTTCGACGATCAGCTCCCCATGAAAGATGAGCAAGGGTTT